AACACCAGCACAGAAAAAATTCATATTACAAGAACACATTGGTATTGAAGGAACTAGATACCGTTCCGAAATATCACTTACTCGAACCGTCCTGACCGCGTAGCTCAGTTGGAAGGGCATTGGGCTAGTATTCCAAAGGTCGTAGGTTCGAATCCCACCGTGGCCGGGCATATTTTTCAAGCTCGCCCGGTGTGGATATACACTCAGAGTAACACCACAAATATCATATTCACCTGAGTACACTACACCAACACAGAAAAAAAAAAAAAATTCATATTACTAGAATACATTGGTATCGAAGGAACTAGATTCTGTTCCGAAATATCACTTACTCGAACCGTCCTGACCGCGTAGCTCAGTTGGAAGAGCATTGGGCTAGTATCCAAAGGTCGTAGGTTCGAATCCCACCGTGGCCGGGCATATTTTTCAAGCTCGCCCGGTGTGGATATGCACTCAGAGTAACATCACAAAACATATTATTCACCTGAGTACACAACACCAGCACAGAAAAAAAAATTCATATTACAAGAACACATTGGTATTGAAGGAACTAGATACTGTTCCGAAATATCACTTACTCGAACCGTCCTGACCGCGTAGCTCAGTTGGAAGAGCATTGGGCTAATACTCCAAAGTCGTAGGTTCGAATCCCACCGTGGCCGGGCATATTTTTCAAGCTCGCCCGGTGTGGATAAGCACTCAGATTAACATCACAAAACATATTATTCACCGTACCTGAGTACACAACACCAGCACAGAAAAAAAATTCATATTACAAGAACACATTGGTATTGAAGGAACTAGATACTGTTCCGAAATATCACTTACTCGAACCGTCCTGACACCGTAGCTCAGTTGGAAGAGCATTGGGCTAGTATTCCAAAGGTCGTAGGTTCGAATCCCACCGTGGCCGGGCATATTTTTCAAGCTCGCCGGGTGTGGATATGCACTCAGAGTAACATCACAAAACATATTATTCACCTGAGTACACAACACCAGCACAGAAAAAAAATTCATATTACAAGAACACATTGGTATTGAAGGAACTAGATACTGTTCCGAAATATCACTTACTCGAACCGTCCTGACCGCGTAGCTCAGTTGGAAGAGCATTGGGCTAGTATTCCAAAGGTCCGTAGGTTCGAATCCCACCGTGGCCGGGCATATTTTTCAAGCTCGCCCGGTGTGGATATGCACCCAGAGTAACATCCCAAAACATATTATTCACCTGAGTACACAACACCAGCACAGGAAAAAAATCATATTACAAGAACACATTGGTATTGAAGGAACTAGATACTGTTCCGAAATATCACTTACTCGAACCGTCCTGACCGCGTAGCTCAGTTGGAAGAGCATTGTGCTAGTATTCCAAAGTCGTAGGTTCGAATCCCACCGTGGCCGGGTATATTTTTCAAGCTCGCCCGGTGTGGATATGCACTCAGAGTAACATCCCAAAACATATTATTCACCTGAGTACACAACACCAGCACAGGAAAAAAATCATATTACAAGAACACATTGGTATTGAAGGAACTAGATACTGTTCCGAAATATCACTTACTCGAACCGTCCTGACCGCGTAGCTCAGTTGGAAGAGCATTGGGCTAGTATTCCAAAGTCGTAGGTTCGAATCCCACCGTGGCCGGGCATATTTTTCAAGCTCGCCCGGTGTGGATATGCACTCAGAGTAACATCACAAAACATATTATTCACCTGAGTACACAACACCAGCACAGAAAAAAAATTCAGATTACAAGAACACATTGGTATTGAAGGAACTAGATGCTGTTCCGAAATATCACTTACTCGAACCGTCCTGACCGTGTAGCTCAGTTGGAAGAGCATTGGGCTAGTATTCCAAAGGTCGTAGGTTCGAATCCCACCGTGGCCGGGCATATTTTTCAAGCTCGCCCGGTGTGGATATGCACTCAGAGTAACATCACAAAACATATTATTCACCTGAGTACACAACACCAGCACAGAAAAAAAAGTCTTTTAAATGTTTTCGTTTCGCTACCAACGTTAATTTCGTGTTATATACGAACCAAAGATCATTTGTATTTTCAAAACAACAATAAACAAAGGAGTAAGATCATGGAATTATTTCATTGTTCAAAGCGCAGGAAAGCACACTTCGATATATGGCATAACTTCTTTTAGTATATGGCACAAACGTGTCACCAGAATATAATTGTATCGAGGAATCTTGTAATGTTATAAGATTCCTCGCGCTCAGAACGGCCATCTTGCTCTTCGTATATTAACGCCAAACAAAAAATTTGTATAATCCTTCTTAACAAGCTTATTAACCTTACTAACCATATCGAAGATTTATTTTGTATAAATTGTAAATATTTACCAAATAGTTGTTATCGTAATTGAATACGTCTACATGCTACGTACCAGCGGTATCTGCATTATTTTAACATCGAGACGAGGCTATAGGGTCATGTTTTGTGTTTTTTGACCCTTTAGCCTCGTTTTCGGGCGTACTTCCACTGAGATACCGCCGGTATTCCGCAGCGGCGTATTCAATTACGATAACAGCTATTGTATTCATTTTATGTATATATAGTCGTAATCTTTAATACTTTTTATGCTTGTACATATCAAAATAGTGCGAGGGCCGTATGTTAGATAACATTTATTTTTAGTACGTTTTTACCCTCATGAAATAAAGCTTCTATTCTATTCTATTCTTTTCCCACTTTGATTCTACCCTCTTATTATCAGTAAAAATCACCGTCATAATAGTTCGTATAAAACGCGAATGCGTGGTAATGTAAATAAATATGACACATTTTGAAAATATACAGTATTGGGAACTCCGAAAATAAACATTTTAATAATATTCTAGCTTTCGACTAAGATTCAGTCATCATCAGGAATCATTCCTGATGATGACTGAATCTTAGTCGAAAGCTAGAATATTATTAAAATCTTTATTTTCGGAGTTACCGTTGTTTTATATTTTGACTTTCTAATGCAGTGCTTCTTTGTGCAACACTCTTAAAAATTGTAATTTTTTGACAATGAAGGTTTGTGTTGCGAGTTGCAAAGAAAGTTGAACTTGCTTCATCATCGAGTTTTTGATTTGTTGAAATCTAATGAAAAATTAGATGCAATGGAAAGTTGTCAGCAGTATGTGTTAGATTGTTTAGTGAAAACAACCGAAAAATAAACCAAATTTTGGTTGTGTTAACCAATAAAACTGGTCATATAACTACATCTAAGACAACCAATTGAAGTGGGTTTTTACAGGATACCAGTAAGCAATTAAGATTAAGTAAAAAGTAACGCAATAAAAAAAATAGGGGATTATTTTTTTATTTTAGAAATACGTGTAAAGTTTGTAATAACTTTACGACGCAATTTTGTTGAAGAACTAAACAACAAATCATCTCCACTTTATATTGAATTGAAGAAGAACATCGCAGCTGAGGTGAGATTAATGCATCGCATACTTTCATAAGTTCATCTTTAAATCCAATTAAAGAGCAATTTTCTTTTACATGTACCTTCCTTTTAAATATACATTTCATATTGCTACGACTATTGCAATAAAATTGGAATTTGGAAATAATCTTTACTACACATTCAACCAGCCAAACCGCTGACACAAAATTGTGTTGTGATTTGGGTCAAATTTCACTTATATTAGTTGAAAATATTTTTCAATGCGCAAATAAGATAAATGTCACAGATGACAGATTGCACCAGATATCTCACTCAGCAAAAATTGTGTCCGTGATTTTTTATGAGCACGCGTTGGCCGCCATTTTGGCTGTAAATGTAATCCACGCCATGAAACGTGACCATGCAATCACTACGGTGGCCGATAAGGGCCACCTCTGCTGCATGGAAACGCGACTGTGCTGCATGGAAACGCGACTGTGCTGCAAGGAAATGCGACTGTGCTGCATGGAAACACGACTGTGCTGCATGAAAACACGATTGTGCTGCATGGAAACACGATTGTGCTGCATGGAAACACGACTGTGCTGCATGAAAACACGATTGTGCTGCATGGAAACACGACTGTGCTGCAAGGAAATGCGATTGTGCTGCATGGAAACACGTCTGTGCTGCATGGAAACACGACTGTGCTGCAAGGAAATGCGATTGTGCTGCATGGAAACACGTCTGTGCTGCATGGAAATTGACGATCAACCTCGTACCAAGGGTCCCCGTGTTTAAAGGTTCTGGTGCACGAGTTGGGACCTTTAAACACGGGGACCCCTGGGTACGAAGTTGATTGACGATGTCAGTACAAACACAGGTGGCCCAATATTGCAAGCGTCAGTATAGTAATGTGTATTATAGCAAAATTATGTGATAAAATATAAATTTTAAAATGAAATTGACTTGCCTATTTGATAGTGTGTGTTCTCCTTTTATTTCTCTTTTGTTAGACTAATATTTTTCGAGACTTTGCACTCGATGGACGATGGTACTAATATACATACTATATGATAAAGGCAAACTACTTACAATCCATCGTCGGCTTATGCAATATTTTAATTTTGGGATAGGTAATAGGACCTCTACATGCGTCTTGGATCTGTGGTGTACTTAAAATCATTATTTATCTAATGGATTACTGTTATTTTCAACGGGGTCTTGAAAGTAGACCATGCCGTGAAACATTGTATAAAAGGTGCACGCGTTGTTTTGTGTCTCTTTTTGTTATTCCATTGTAGAAATATCGTGATCGAAGTTAGCATGTGCTGTATGTAAAGTTATTACTTGGTAATTGATAGGTGTAATTTGACGATGCACATGAATTTATCGATATCACAGGGTCGGATTTGACCATACTGCGATGTTGTAAATTAGGAATTGGTAACAAGACTTGTGATTTTGCGCTGTGTAATTTTCCTGTATCTCATTTGAGTAAATGATTTTCTTAAAAATATCTTCACAGGGTCTGGAAAGTAGACCATGCAGTGAGATATTGTAAGCTTAATCCTTGTTGTTAACTGTGTATTCCATAATCTGTCCGTCACATGTGGTTAAGTCTATGTGAGGATTGTAGGTTTATCCCTTAGTATTGAAGTATGGATGCAGTTAGATTATGTACATACTCACAGGGTCTTGAAAGCAAACCATGGCGTGAGATATGCATGTCATGAGTCCTATGGTTTGTGTCATGTATGTAACTATTGATAGGTAGAATAAGTAGTTGTTGTACAATCTACAAAAATGCGGTTTATAGAATCTGGCAGAACATTTAATTATGCCACAAGGGTAAACTTTATTTAAAATTGGTGTCTTAGACTAATCATCCCAGATGTTTTGTAAAATGGCGCCCAGATAATTACGATAATTATTAATTACGATATTTCTACAATGGATTCACATATAAGGATATGCAACGCACTGTTATACACGTGCACCTCTTATACGGGGTCTCACGGCATGGTCTACTTTCAAGGCCCCGTTGAAAATATAAGAAATCCATTGGGTATATGTGTGTATATGTATGTATGTGTGTATGTGTGTGTGTGTGTGTGTGTGTGTATGTGTGTGTGTTTGTCTGTGAGCACGATAACTCAAGAAATACCAAACATATCCGTACGAAATTTTTTGAATGCATTTCCCATCGGCTAAGGAAGAACTGATTAAAATTTGGTTTAATTTGGTTAAAAATTGAACGAGAAATGAACAAAATTTTGTCTTGCTTTTCCCGGTCAATTAACAAAATATATTACTGAATGCGTAATTAGGACGTGTATAATTTATGCACTCAGTGCTAAGACAGTAATGAGATGATAAACCTCATTAAGCTTCGGCCTTCATTAACTATTGTCTTAGTTGCATTTCACGCGACCGAAATTCAATGTCTAAAACAAGGCTTACGGAGTTACGCATTATTACGTTCAGCAAAGTGCCAGTCCATTCAAATTCTAACAACATTAGATTACTTCAATACAGGGTGTATAAAAAGAAGGCAACCTCGGAATTTCCCAAGAAATCGACATTGTTTTAAAGACAAAAGATTTTAGCTGCCTGGGAATTTAAAATAGCACAACTGTGAAAATTACTGCACGCGCGAGTGCATAAAGCAAAATTTGTGCATTTATTTAATGACACTTAAAAACTTTTTATTTTACAAGTACTGTACAGTGCAACAACAGTAATATGTTCTATTAGCAATTCGATTTCAATTCGCGGGGGCCTGAAATCTTTTATGCTTAAGAATTATAAAGTGGATTTCTTAGGAAATTCCAAGGTTGCGTTTCACTTCCGAGTAACGGGCGGAGGTATGCAGTCTCTGAGTGCCCTCTAGTTCGTTATCAAATGATGACGCCATGGTCCTAGCCAGTACGCGTTTGAGAGACATTAACCCAGCTGATAATACACGGCGGTCGGTTGCTATGCAAAATCCTCCCGGAAGCGCAGGCTCGCATTGTCAGCAGAGTAGCCCATTAATATTCAAATTTCCCACCAAAATGTTCAAATATAGCTGCCAGCGATGTCTCTTTGAAGTTATCTAATCTAAACTTAGGCGAGGATAACAATGAAATGGAGAGTCCAAAGCATTTTTGGAACCGAGCTTTGGTGGCTATGAAGTTTAATTTCGAGCCTACCTGGCTTGACGCGACGTGGAAGAGCGAACAAAAACCAAATTTCGGAATGCGAAATTTGCACTAAGCCGCGGTTACCGCGGTATTGCAGAATATTTAACAATTATACCATGAGCTCGAGTCGTATATGAGCTGATAGCCGACGAGGTGCGTAGCACCGAGTCGGCTATCAGCCATATACGACGAGAGCGAATGGTATAATTGTTTTATAATATAGTCTAATATAGCCATTAACTGAAGCAGTAATTAATTATTCACTGTTACAATGTGTTGACAATTTGTTCGGCCGAAAACCGCTTGAAAATTTGAAATACTTTTGTTTTACAACTCGAAGACGAAGTGAAAGAAATGGTTTTAGAACCTATATCTCACATGCAGGAAAGCTCAGATATATTATACAGATGTTTGGTACTATAGTAAGTGCTTGTTGACTGCAAATTCGTTTGTCGTTCATCGGCAAACTTTTCTGAACAATTTATATTCTCAATGAACATGTTTTTTCGCCGTTGTTTCGGTATTAATTCTTTAAAAAACTTTATTTAAACTAATTTTTACGTAATAAATGTATTTTGCTAACCTGTCAAATTTTTTTTGAGAGTTTTTCCCTGTACTATTATGTTGCTCAAAGCGAATATTTTCCTTTTTCTGCTTCGCAAAACTCATGTAGTTTTTGGACCGCCATCTTGTTTTTCGCTACTCGCCGTATATGAGCTGATATACAGCGAGTAATTCAACCAATCAGATTGCAGAACAGCTCATATACGGTGGATGACTATATTATAAACACCGATATACTCCACCACTGCACCAGTATACACTGCATATTTTGCATACATATGCTTTACAGTGTATACTCATCTACTATACACAATATACATGTAACAAACATGTCTATGGTCAAAACTGTATATTCTCGCAATCTCGCTTTTATCAACTTGCTATATAGCTAGTCTATATATATTGTGTATATAGTGTATAGACTATGGTATACATATACAAAATATACATGTCTATTTAGACATAGTCAAAACTGTATATATACTGTATATTCTCGCTTAATTTTATCAACTTGATTGTAAATATTAATGCATGCAGATATATTTTATTTATTTATTTATTTATTTATTTATTGTGCTTCGCTTCCAAACATCATACAATAATTGCATTAAAGAAGCTGGGACACCACAACAGCTTAACACCAATTACAGTGGGCCCTTTACAAAATATCAATATAAATATAGAAAACAGAAATAAGTAACAATTTTTCGCCGAAGGTTAGGTGATTATCGATGAGTAGGGACAGAGACAAAGTCGAAGTTTTCATTTAACAATAACCACCGAGCCTGAGGCGAATAATTGTTTTAGTACAATTTCATAGGTGATTATTTTGGGGAAAAAAATAAAAATACATATTTCTTCATCATTTAATAGTCAAAACGGCTTCGGCCGACGGCCGCCATAATATTTCGAAAATCGCTTAGGTGATTAACGCGTTATAATCACCTCAACATCAAACCAATCAGCGTGGAAAATTTTCAATAATCACCTATGTAATTATACTTAGTTTACTTAAGGTATGTTTACACACCGCGATCCGCCGTGTACGACTCGTATTTTGGCGAATCCAATCGAGTAGGCACGCGTCAATTGTGCATTTAAAGTTTCGCTTCAATTCAGATTTTTGGAATTGAGGCATCAAATGAATTTCATACACCAGAACCCGAATCGCACAGGACAAATCGCAATGTGCAAACGCCCCTCTAGTAACAGCAAGTTAATGGTCGGATGAGACTTCTGCATGTATTACATTTGACACAGACAGTTTTCCAAGTTCGTGGATCGTCAACGTTGTAGCAGGATCGTAATGCAGTCAAGTAGTATGCTAATATTCCTTTCTTAAATTGAATAAAAGATAGATTAATAAGCCTTAAATGCTCGGGGAGAGAGTTCCAAGTTCTAGTTGTTCGAAGAAAGAATTGATCGATTATAAGTTGTTGTTTTATGTTTCGTTGACGGAATGAGGTTGCGTTGACATTAGCAGATGATCTTGTGACTCTTACGGGAGCAATACGTTCAGGTAAGGAATTTTGAGATATCGATACAATGCCAGTAATGGCTTTGAAGAAAAACATTAAGTCTAAATATTCATGCCAATATGAGAGGGGAAGAAGTTCTGTCGAAATGAGTCTGTCTTTATCCCTCTAGGAGCCACTGTTGCTTGTGAGCAACATTGTATGTATACCCCCTCCCTAGTCGCCAATATAAATTTTCATCATTTCAAAGCCAATGTTGCTCCTAAGCAACATATATAGCTTGTTCCCAGCCCTACAGAAAACAGCACGGCCATGAATCACATGTTCTAGGATCTTTCCAAAATGGCTGCCTCAACAAGCAAGCAAGAAGCACGCGTAAGGTAAGAAATATTCGTTTAAATCTCTACCGTATTCACATTTCCTGGTATTTTTAAATAGAGAAAACAACAAGCATTATTCGAAATTAATATTTATTCATTTAAAGTTAGGAAATATATAAAATTACTCGAAAAATAGACCACAAAATATATGTGTTGCTCACAAGCAACATTGGGTACAAAGTGCAACATGGATATGACCACATGTGACATATGTTTTTATGTTATTATTTCATTTTTAGTGATATTTACTTATAAATATTCTGTAAGATATTGCAAAACACACAAATGTAGGAGAACAAAATGTTAGGAAACCATTGTCATTACATATTTTGTTTATATTTTGATTTTTGTGACATTTCTTACCAAAATGTATATTTTATTCCTACAGGCAAAGGATTTTGTTGAAATTGATGACATTTTGGATACAGTAACAGGGTCTGATAGCCAATGTGATGTTTTGTCGTCTGGAGATGAGTTGGATGATGATATGGTGATGACGATTGGGAGTTGGATAATGTTCAAGGTGGTTGTCGTGGCGATTATGGTGATGATTCAGGCATTAGTGGTGGTGAGGATGGTGACGACAATGGAATTGTTAGTGGTGATGGTAATGATGACAATGATGATGACAATGATGATAATGTACCTCTGGCCTGTCGAAAGAAAAGCGAGTCAAAGTATAAGTTTGAAAAGTGACAACCATTTCTACCACGTCCGGTACCCCTGTTTATTCCAGAACCCAATATACCAGCGCGCGATGAAAGAATACCTGTTGAATATGTCAACATGTTTTTGACTGATTACATTATTGACAATTTGGTGGAAGAATCCAACAAGTATGCAACCGAAAAGACAGGCTCATGTCCAAATTTTACCAAAACAGAGATGACAGCCTACGTTGGTATTTATTATTTGATGGGAATTGTCCGACTTCCAAAGATTGACAACTATTGGAGGTCAGATTTCGGTATGGTCAATTCTATTTGACCGATTCAAGCTAATTCATCTAACACTTCACTTTGTGGACAATAACACAACATCTGATGAAATAAAACTTGATTGAGTATGATTGATGTTCGATTCGACAATGTTGGCCACATGCCAATGTGCCTAGAGAAGAAGGGACAGTGCCGAAACTGTCCGACTGGTTACAGTTTTTGGTCCTGCTTCAGGTGCAAAGTATATTTGTGCTTAGTCTGTGGAAAAAAACCCCTAAAAACTGCTTTGCCTCATATCACCGCAAATAGACTTGCTTGAACATTGACAATTTGACTAGTTCTTTGCGAAGGATGAGACATTTGCACGATTTTGTATCCTTTATATATCTAGTTGATAAAAATTACTCATAATATATCTACCTCCTCCACAGGCGTTTAATTATTTAGACGCAGGAGGAGAGTTTTAGGGAAAAATAATGTGGAAAAATCAATTTAGATATATTCGGTTACCTGCATTACTTTTCCCACCTGCGGCACGCCATGCAATCCCTAAATTTCCTTGCCCGCATCTATGTAATGAACCGCCTGTGGAGGAGGTAGATAATATAATATATATTCATATTAAATCCAATTGTTACTATGTTATTCAAAACATTTTGCATATTGTATGTTCTAAGTTTTTTCATTTCTATTTTATACTGTAAAGGCCAATGTTGCTCCTGAGCAACAGTTCGGAAAACCAGGTTATGTAGGTTAAAAATTAAAACTGCCCCCAAAATCTGGTAGGCGGTCTCAAATGTATTCAGAATCCTGTTGGTTAGATTTTTTATCAAATTTTTTCCAACCTTGGCACCCAGAGGGTTAAAGAAGATACAAAAAAAGTCAGCAAACCATACTTCCTTCTCTTCTCGCTTGTCAGATTTCCTTTGTTCTTGTTGGAATATCTTTGTTAGTTTCTTCAGCTGCGCTTTCGAGATTTCCTCAAACTTCTGCAAACACAGTGTAAGGTATTATATAATATAACTAGAGTGAAACACGCAATTTGATGTAATTATTTCAAATCCGACTAAGAGGATTTGATCCAGTCCGATGCAAAGCCGAGGACTGGGTGAAAAAGCGAGGACTCTCTAGTCCAGTCTGAATTGGAGGATTTGAAATAACAGTCATACGAATAAATCACTACTTAAAGTGAAGTGAATTAGTTTTGATCCAGTCCAAGGACTGGATTAATATATACTTCACCAGATATCCAGTCTCATCATGTGAGCGAAATAAAGTACTGTAATATGGCTGGCTAATTTACACGTGAATTATTAATAAGTTTGAGATTGGTCAATACCCGGGCAGGACCAGACACGGAAAATTTAATTAAATGCCTTCGCACGGCATGGCTGCGGAAAGTAGGAAGCAATGGAGCGATGCTACCTCCAAAGTCTAAAGGTCTAACTCCAAACCAAATATGCACTTCAGTAACTTGTGTAATTCAAAACTGAGTTGAAATACAAACTGTGGAGTACTGGCTAACTCCAAAAATTATTTGGAGCTAGGAAAACTCCAAAAATCATTTAGGGGCTAGGCATCTAAGCCTGGAGTTACTGGCTAACTCCAAATATCATTTGGAGCTAAGTATAAATCATGAAAAAACTAGGTATTTAAGCCTGGAGTTTTGGATTTTCCAATGGAAGCCCCTAGCAGCACACTTGGCATTTTGTTCTCGTTCAGACGCTAAATTTTGCTCTGCACTTGCGGCGCAACCCATTCTCCTACCCTTTGACGCTTGTCATGCATGCTCTGTTGACCGCGTGTGAGACAGGCTCTGGGTACGAGAATGTGGCATTAGCCTAGCTGCATTTGAAAATTGGTTACCTCCACAAAAATAACATCTACAGGTGTGTCGCACGGGCTTTAGAGAGGTTCAGGTTTGACTTCCACTTCCGCTACCTCTCACTGGCTTAGTACGCATGTGATTGGTTAAGCGGATATATCAAATGCATCTGATTGGAAAATGGTCGCTTAATGGTAACGGTAGTGGAAGTCAAATCTGAACCTCTCTTTTCTAAAATCGATTACAAAGAAAACATTTTAACGTGTGAAGTTAACAGTATATTAAATAGTTAACAAAAACGTGAATAAACTTATAATAAAGATAACCGTTTAAATAACGTTTAAATAAAGTCAACGTTTTAATAAAGTTAACCGTTGTTTCACTGTTGTTTCACTGTAGTTTTTCTATGAAACAATTAGCAAACGGTTTCCGCGCGTCATCCAAGCACTTGGGATGTTGCTCGGGCCTTTGCTTGAAACGTCGAAGTTTCCCTAATTCTATTTTTCAGGTGGTTGAATCCCTACCTACAGTATCTACAGTTCTCCAAGATTAATCCAGCTACAGTCGATATTATTCTGTTTTCTTTTCAAATCCATCATAGCTAGGTGTACACCGGATAGTGCTTTTTGCTATCCGGCCGGATACTGGATAGTTGTAAAATATTCCGGCCGGATTACCGGATATTTTGGAGAAAAATTCATACATGCCAGATATGATTTGATAACCACATAAGGCATGGCATCCCAATAAAGAGAGCAAAATTAAAACTTCGCATGCGCTGTTTATTGGTTAAACATGTTAGCTAACAAAAGTACTTTTTGACATTTTGTGTCAATCTTCTTTGTATTATTTTACAAGTAACAAATATTGAATAGCACGCTTCACAAATTATCCGGTTTGGGTTAAATTGATATTCAAGTGGCTTATAAAAGAAATGTCCATGACAACATACATGAAACCTTAATTCTTCGTAAATCACGACAAAAAGTGCAACCAACACTTCTAAATTGCGTATAATTCAATATCCAGTATCCGGCCGGATATCTTCAATTATACGGCGGAATAATTGATAGTGCGATTTTCCCACTATCCGGCCAGATACACTATCAGTTACACCCCTAATCATAGGTAATCCAGAAAAACAAACTTTTGCTGGCGAAGTGTTTCTAAAATTTATTTATTCTAAAAGGCCACTCGCCGTAGTTTCTTGGGGGTAAAGTCTGACTAAATGAACGATAGACTGAAAAATCATGAAACATTTACATGAAATGATGCCGACTTATCTTACTGAATTTGGTGAACTTCCGTGGTGGGGGCCTAGGGCATGCCTACAAGACGGCCTTCAAATTCCGCAATCTTGGTTTCAAAAACGATGCCGTTTACGAGTTATCGTTTCAGTAATAATTGAAATAAATATTTCAAAAGAAAATTACCATGCCTTTCTCTTTACTGTCAACCATTATTTTGGGAAAAGGTTCTTTTCCACAAAATTCCATCGCCTAAAAAATTGATAATTTTGTCAATGATAAATATTGATAATTTTGTTTCTCCCATTCCTTGTGAGCATACAAGAAAGGGACGAACGCACTTGGGCAAAAAGTCGTTCGTTTAAAAATTTGTCCGTAGACGCATGCATGGACAGTGCTCGAAATTAGCGAGGGCAAATCGCAATTGCCGCCGAAAATGAGATTATTGACGGCAAAACATCGACGTCGACGATTTTTTTGCGGGCATTACCTTTTGTATTCGAATGATTCTTCTAAAAGCCTTGTTGCTATATTTTATTAATTAATATGAACAGATGACTATAATGATGATTATCTTTAGTTGCTCGTTCCTGTGTTTACAGAGAATTCGGTACACTATATGATTAAGCTGTTGTAACTTACCTAATTATTTGTTTTATTCCTTATTGTTCCGCTTATTAGTCATGTTGTGTAGTTGCTTAATAACATTGTTACAAACAATTTTCGCCGAATGATGTCGTGTAACAGAGGGAGAGCGCACAGGCGGTAAATACTGTATATCTTCTATTTTTTAAGTATTGAGAAGCAAAAAGATGCCATTTCACTCAGTAAAAGAAAATTGCCGTCGAACTCTAAATTATCGACGGCAATTTTTTGCCTACGAGGATTTATGCTAATTTCGAGGATGATCCATAAGTCGATAAGATGGAGTTTCTACGTAGTCTATATGCAACAATCAGGTACCACCTATTCCTTGCTATACCAGCAGTTGGGATTTAGGCAGGGTGGATTATAACAGTCGGCAATCGGTTAGTTGCAGAACGTACAAAAACAATCAATGACCAGTTTACAGGAATACCAAATGGTTTTCCTTGCAGGATAGCGTTATGTAAGCAACATCTCAAGTGTGTGTGTGTGGCTGTGTGGGATATTGTTTAAAGGTGATCTACAGTCCGTATGTAAAGAAAGCCTTTGTTTACATTTTTGTGTCCAAAATATTGAGTTTTATTCGACAACTATTTATATTTTCAAGCTTCTAGAGTATAATAAATGATCAAGAAACAACAATCAGGCTTTTCAAGAAATCAAAGCATAGTTAAACTGTTTCTATCATAAAAAGTGGGCTCATTTGTGCACATGCGCAGATCGGACTGTAGATCACCTTTAAACACTATATTACATAAAGTAAATTAACGACTGCTGACAAGCATTTTGAATAAGATTATCATATAGACCACTTAGATTTTGAGAATAGGCGGGGAAAGTGATTCAAAATTTAAACATTGCATACTTTCAGAGCAGTTTTAAATGGTTTGTTTTCTGACCCATCACCACTCTCGTCGCATCCGAATTTTTCAGATGAATACAATGTATCTAGCAAAAAGATTAAAAACATAATTATGTATTAAACCCATGCGCATATGACATTTTTTCTGAACGAGTATGATTGTCTGTATTTCACACAGTACAATAATAATGGGGCTGGTTAAAAATTAACACCCAACATTTTCGTCTGGACAAGTACTGTAAATTGTCTGGAGTTTATAGAAAAACTAAAATGAAAAAGTATATAGGGTGGGTTAGGGAACTTTGTAGTTTAATGTGTTAGTGTATCAGTGACGTAGGTAGAGGGGGGGGCTTGCAAAGTGCTGCCCCCCTCCTTGGAAAGATTCTCACCAGTACAAGAATGTGCATTATATTTTTATTTCTTCTAATGGAAATTTTATATCTTCCTATGTTTTAAATGTTCTGGGTTCTTTGTGATTAATTAAGTATAGAGTTGTTATGTGTTAAATGGTTATTTAAAATCATCAAAATTTAAAAGCATTAAAATAGCCCCCAAAATGCTGAAAATGGCAAAGGTGCGAGATATCACGTGATGACTTTCAAACAGAATGCGCGGGATGCCAAAAAAGTGGGGGTCTACTGATTTCAATAATAACAAACCCTTACTATTTTCTTCCTGGACTTTTGTTCGATGGAGGTTGGAGTGCATGTTATAAAGATTGTACTATACATATTGAATGATGGAGAAGACAGGTAAAAAAAATACATAACCTGTCACCATGGACTGACAGGTAAAAAATAGTAACATTTCGAACCCTAGGGCTGTCAATATTATCATATGATTCATATAGCTAAAATACTCGGATGATATTTACAAAAATGAAATTGACTAACCAGCTAACATTTTTACTCAACCATATTGTCTAAAGCAGTATTTAAACTTTGCAACCAAAGGTATCCTGTTCAGGGGTTTGGGATATAAAGTTTCTTATGTACCTATGCCCCTAGGGTGGGAGACCGGGCATGTAACCCTCGGGATTTGCACAAAATTTCTTGCCCCACGTGGAGATATTTACCATTCTTTGGAGCCCGAGGGTTGGGACATTTTACAAATCTTAAACCACACGTTTAAGTTGTGTGGGCAACCACTTGAACCATATGGAAAGCAAGCAGAATGGCGAGCGAAACGGGTAGAAAGAAAACTGTATAAAAATAAGTTTTTTTTGTTATTTCCACTTAAAATTTTTAAAAAGGAGTAGACGTACGTCTTTTGGAAACATATACCGTACAATATATATCTTACTATAGATTTATATTATATTTATAAAGTCATACTATATATGCACGGTTTATATATAAAAAGTACAGATCAAACTTGTGTCTTGCGCACTGTCAATATTCTCATCGTTTCATGCTTTTTGGTTCCTTTTTACCGACATACTGTACATGTGCTTATACATGTTAATAGTGAAAAACTCAGCTCATATTCTAATGCAAAAATCCCTTTAAACAACGTTGCTGTTCTATTTTCAACAGAATTTGATAAAGTATGTCAAGTTTGTTTAAGTTCTATTTTATACTGTGCCTGTGGGGATTTGACAATTCGTTATGCCCCATGGTGGGGAATATTTCAATATTCGCCTGTATTTTGTTGCCCCATATTGGGGCATTAGCTCAAACTTTTCTTCGGCAAAAATTCTAATCTCCACCTGTATCCCGGCTTCCCCCTCTGGGGGCTTAATATTGATAGGTGCATTATGCTGACAGTGGTTAGTGGCGGACATTAGAAATCCCGGGAGGGGGGGGGATGAAAATTCCCCCAGAAAAATTCGTGCAAAGAAAATGCCTGGAAAAAAATTCGCACAGTCATTACGTCAGAGAAAAAATAATTGTGCAAGCAAACAGCAAATAGTAGTTCTTGCAGAGGTTAAATGCATAAAAAATCCTGCAGAGACCATGAGACCCCCCTCCCGGGATTTCTAATGGTCCGCCCCTTAGAGATCTTGCTAATAATACTGCATGGGTGTTATTATAAGTAATGTAGACAGGAACGTTTGATCATCAATTTGGTTACATCTCTGAAAAAAGAGTACTCGCGGTTTTAAAACGGATTAAAATTATCTCAAAATTATTATTGCCGATTTCAGCTTTTCAACAGACCATTATCCAATGTTTGTTTTCGGACCAAAACAAAAATGAATCAAATCAATTCTTGATCACTTCTCAAGATGAGCTTATCATACAGTATCCCCCTAACACGAAGGATTTGACTCGTACATAAGGAGAACACTGTGGATGGAACCCATAGAGCCGTATATCATAAACAAACTGACTATACAGCTGGCAGCCGGCTATTTAGTACATAACTGCCGCCAATATGACTGATCCCAGCCTCTCCTCTAACCACTAAATGTCTAATAAACAATTTGAGAGTTAAAAAAAGTTGGGGGAAAAGTTTTAAAAAACTTTAAAAAAAAAGTCAGACAAAAAGTCAACTTCGCACTCAATGCCTTTAACAACTGATACACTACCGGCAAGCTTGCTGAATACAATAGAAAAAAAGGGTTCTATATTTGGGGTTACGTCTATATTCATGTTGCCACAAATAACATCGAATCTACGTTGAATGGGACTGGTGGATGCATGGGTGGGTTTTTATGTGAACTTGTCGACGCTATTTCGCAATAATTGTGCAGTTAGTGAAGAAAGCACCATATTGACAGTAACGTGTAGACATTGACACAAGTATGAATATCAGATATGGAGGTATCTGTGGAATTAACTCTGATAGCTAAAACTGCATGTTGAATTTCTGACATTTTAATACCATGTTTGTGATGTTACTCTGACTGTGCATCCACACCGGGCAAGCTGAAAAGTTAGCTTGGCCACGGTGGGAATCGAACCCGCGACCTTTGGGAAAAAAATTCTGACCAGCTAGTGGATTACATTTTCATTTCTCTTAATGGAAATTTTATATTTTAAATGCTCTGGACTTGTTTGTAATGAAGTAGAGTTGTTATGTGCTATATATAACTGGTTATTTCAAATCACCAAAACACATGATTAAAATGGCTCCAAAAATGGTGGCACTTTACCTAATCAAGAATTTAAAAAGTATAGATTGTACTATATTATACATGGATGGTGTGGGAGTCCAAATACATTTTCACATAATAAACAAACTTTATTCAAACTAGCACAGCCCCTCCTGGGATTTTTTCAGTCCCCCTTGATTAGAAATCCTAGCTACTCATTGCTCAATTCCAGGTTAACAAACTAGTGCATGTGTATTACGAGATAATCCATTGAGCAAAAGTGCTCTTTCCCAACACTTACGCCCGTATTCTAAAAGCTCACTCACACTCACACTCAATGAGTGGAGGTTCAATCTGTCGAGTGAGCTTCTCTTGAGTATCAATGCTGTTTTTGAATAGCTGGAGGGTGAGTAGTCACATAGTAAGGTATGACACTAGCCCTCCAGCTATTCAAAAACAGCAATGACACTTGAGAGAAGCTCAGATTGAACTTCCACTCATTGAGTGCGAGTGAGCATTTAGAATACGGACGATAAAATCATTGGGTGTTATAGACAGTCAGAGTAAAATAATGTGGGCACGTACAGTACATTGGGGCACAATGTAACTTAATAGGTCAATGGTCAGAACTGAATGATAAACAATAATAAACACAAATTTGCTCGGCATCATGCCTTGTTGTCATTATACTCAAAATGTACTTCAGTTTTAATAACAAAAGTTGGGGTTTCATCATACAGTATATGACACACATGCATAATATATGCATGCTTCTAACCAGCTATCTGACAGGTTTAATTTTCAACATTCCCAAGCCATTTTAATATATTCTCAAGATTTGCCAATCAGGTTTTCCAAATAAGTACATGATTATATCACATCACTGTTCATTTTACATTCTTCAAGTAGATGCAGCCTATAGGTTTACAGTATTTATTGTGTATCACCATGCAGAAAATATCTTGCAATATCTTGTTCAAAACCGTCAAATCCAAGGTAAACGGTAGCCAGCCATGTTACCAGTAAGATTTCTAGTTTGTTGACTTTGAAATGGCCAAGGTTTAACTCGAGTATAAATATTTATACTTTATTGAATAGCCCCTGTGTTTCGCTGACCAGGTATTGCTGCTTTTGTCGCACTATAAGATGTTCTTTTGCCCGCCAAAGGGCTTATTTTACGCATAATTGTATTTCTAAATTGATCATTCTTGACTTTAAATTCCAAAAGCCACACGAGAAGCAGATTAAGACGTCTTTACAAGTCCAAATTTATCATAAATTGCAACAAATGTTAAATGCGTGCCTTCTCATTCCTTGCGTAAAAATATGCCCAGTCAGCGTTTTTACCTGGAGCAACTCAGTTTACTTCCGCTTCCGGGGGCACCCACCAATGTTCTTTGGTGTTCCGGTTTGGATTATCCCGGCTTCTGAAAGTACAGCCTAGTCCCTAGGCCTCTTAGTACGCCTATTTCGCGTTTCTGCATATTAATGAGGTGACGGTTCCTGAGTACGAGGTTGTTTTTACTCCATCCTCGTCCCCAGGCCCAAGCTCTGGCGGCCCCTTGCAGCTCAGGAAATACTTGAAAAACCAGACACAGAACAGCTGGGCAATTTTTCGACGCTGACCAAAAATAGCGCCTCATTTCTTCTTGAGTTACCATTTTCGCGTCGAAGAGCAAAAATATAGACTTTCGTATTTATAGACTATATATATATATATATATATATATATATATATATATATATATATATATATATATATATATATATATATATATATATATATATATATATATATATATATATATATATATATATATATATATATATAGATATATATATATATATTCATATATATATATATATTCATATATATATATATATTCATATATATATATATATTCATATATATATATATATATATATATATATATATATATATATATATATATATATATATATATATATATATATATATATATATATATATATATATATATATATATATATATATATATATATATATATATATATATATATATATATGGGTAGCCTACTATATTGGGTAGCCCACTATGCTAGAGTGCTCAACACAGAAATTGTGGAACAAAATGAACAAAACTTTTTTAATGTTTTTATATAGTTGATGCGAGCGAGTTCAGAGTCGCAGCACGAAGTTTATACTATCTCTTCCATTTCACAGATCTTTCATACCCTAAAAGACTTGCTTTACTCAACATTCTTCCAATTACCTACTGGCATGAATACCTGGATCTTGTTTATCTATTCAACATCATATCTATTATAAAAATTCCGACAAAAATGTGAAACTAAATTCACCAAATCGTGTAACCAGACGCTCTAGCTCTACATCAGTCTCCTTCTTCAGATTACTAAATCAAAAACAGTAACCTTTCAAAACAGTTTTAATATCAGAGCATGCAGAACGTGGAACAGTATCTTTAAGAAACTTAACTTTATTGTCTTCGTTTAAACGTTGTCTATTTAATTACTATTTTTTATTAACTTCTGTTTAACTTGTTTATAACCCAGAATTGCCGCACACACACAAGACTGTTTGTGTCAAATGTCACAAAGCCCGTCCATTGGATTCACTCAGTGACACTTTGTGTTACTAGTGCCCTTTCTTTATATTATGTGATTGACCCTTATTTTTTTTTTTTTGTTGACTTTGTTGTTTTTTGTGATGCACTATTTAGTGTTAACTCTTTGTATTCTTGGGTTTCATATAACGTCACAGAAGTGACGGGGGGTCAACTCTAAAAGCTAAAACAAAATACAGTTATCAGAGTGAGTCGATTGTTTGTTTTATGTATTAGCCTTGTGTTTGGTGGAAAATACATGGAATTTCGTATCATTTTCTCACTCAGTACAGCATAAGCATCAACACATTTGAGGTTGACCCCCATCAGATTCACTGCATAATGCCTTAGTGAAACCAAAGAATACCATATTTCTATGTATTTTACAACTCAAGCGGGGAACCCGTTATTGGAGCTTCGGCTCTGTGGGTGCGCCCTTCCTGTTTTTGGGTAAATAAAATAAACAAGACGCCTACTCAGGCGTTCACACTGGCCTGAAAATAACGAGATACGTGCTATGGCGCAAAAGGCAGGAATACAAATCTTAAACCGCAAGCAAATTTTATGGACTTTTTAAAAAAATAAAAGACCTTTTCGGGAGACGTAATGGTGCAAATCTATTACTAGCAGTTACTTTCGCAAGGAAAGTGCTGGCCTTTATGGCGTATTAACAGAATGCAAAAATTTATACTTCTAGACAATTCTCGGTTATATCCCCAATGTTTCCTTCTCGTCCATCACTTAAGCCCATTCACAAACTCATTCTTAAATTGTGTGCACGGAATACGAGTAAATAGCCAACATGAAAATGAAGCCATTGGGTCAAAAGTGGATATTAAGGTCTATTACAATACACACTACTTTTGTCTTAACTCTGGCTAACGCCAGACCAATTTACACTGTAACGCCAGACGATTTTACTTGTTAGTGGCAGAGTACTGTCAGTAAATGGGTTAACAAACACATCTGACATTGGTAATCCATTAACAGGCAATGTACCGCCTTAGTATTCTTTAGTAACTCTTCAGAATTTGCTCAGAGTCAATGTTAGTAAAATACATCTTGTATTCAAGCGCTTTCATGTACAAAGTTTCGTTTGAATACAGCACAGAGTAGGAATATTTATTTTGAATTTTTCAAAATATCGGGTTTTTACTCGCACGCACGTTTATAGCTCGATTGATGGACGTGCAAATCATGCCGTCCTTGTTTTGACTTTTGATCGCCATAAAAATCCCAAGACACAAGCTTGAAAATAACACTTTCGATTCTGGTTCCAATGATATTATTACGAAAAAGATATGTCCAAAGGGGCCGAAGTTATGTTCGGCAAAATGTATGGCCATGGCTAGTTTACATTGTTTGTTATATTATGAAATATGATACCATACTTGTATTAAAATTTGCGTCGAACTAAATGTTATTGTATTAGGCAAATGAGTAGACTTGCCACAAGTCGACCTCGAACGAAATGCGTACGTTTCTTCGAGGTTGACTTGTGGCAAGTCTAGCAGATGAGAACCATACATGTCAATAATGGTCCCAGTTCTTGTTGGTATTTTGAACGCACGCTTTATCTTTAGTATAGCTACCACATGACAAAGCCTTTCGCGCGAATTATATTTCGCGCAGTACTAAAATTTCCGCACCCAGCGGCCAGCGCTACTAATTCTAGTACTGCACGGATTTTAATACATGTATTTAAAGGTATATTGTCGACATTTGACTAAAAATATCGTAAGGAATTAAGTACACAAGGGATGTAATTATGAGTCCACGACGTATATTTATTGTTGTTTATTAAAAAGTCAAACTGTCAAACCTTTAACTTGTCCTTGTTTAAATATCCTTCTATATATTGTATAAATTCGCTGGGTCCAAATTTTGTGGTTTTCGAGTCGTTATACAAAGAAAAACACATTAATTCAACACGCAAGAAAGTCCAGAGTTCGACACAACGTAAATTCCATAGGAAACCGGCACAATTCTTTTAAAATTCAACGAAACTGTGTAAAATATAGTTTGATCACTCTGTGAAAAGTCGCCATTGGAGTTCGGAATTGTGCGCGTGCGTACAAGTGTATGGGCTAATAAACGAAAATGTACCACAAGCATGGCATGAGTCGGCTATTACGTACATAAATACCGAACTTATTACTATACTATCTAAATCATAGAACCGAGGGAATCAATGGCATTTTGGCTTAATGGTTGCACCATGAGCCTAACGCAAACTCGATTTCTCGACTACGAAAAAAACAGAAAAAGGGGGATTTAAGACACTTGGCCCTACAGGCCAGTGTAATAATCTTACTGAGGAAGGCCAACGGTTTCTGAAAAGCTAAAGTACATCGAAATCAGCTGGCATGGTAGACTTTACGGGTAGCGGATTGTGGACTGCGGATTGCGGATGCGGATTGCGGATGCGGATTACGGATGCGGATTGCGGATGCGGATTGCGGATGCGGATTACGGATGCGGATTGCGGATGCGGATTGCGGATGCGGATTGCGGATGCGGATGCGGATTACGGATGCGGATTGCGGATGCGGATTGCGGATGCGGATTGCGGATGCGGATTGCGGATGCGGATTGCGGATTGCGGATTGTGAACCCATACAAATCGTTTATTTCTTCGGAAAAAAGCCACAATAATTGCTTGAAGCTACTTGTAGCAATGCTAAGCCCCCTAGGAAATGGCTATATATGTCTTGGTTATAACGGAGTATATCCGTGTTAGAATATTTCGACAATAAAGAATAAACCAAGTTTAAATAAAATGAAACACTCAGACATTCAAACATTTCGTAAGTCACATCGCGTGTACGGCGTGTATGGAGCTAAAGAATTCATTGACCGATGACAAATAGTGACAAAGAAAATATAGTGACGTTTAGTGTTTACTGCTAGACGTACATCCAGGCTCTAAATAGTTACTTTCAAGAAAAATTAGGTAGATACATAATAGATGTTTATTTACCCTAATCACCACAAATGTTTAAGTTGTTAATAAACAACCTCAAGAAATCGGATTTTGTGCAAGGCTGATGATATTCTATTTATTTTAATTAATATTCTGGAGGAAACACAGTGAAGGTTAGTTTTTATAGTGAATACTATTTATCAATACTGATTACTGTTGATTTGAAACTCGATTTTGATAATTATACGGTGTCGGTGAAACGAGGACGCAAAATCAATGGACAATGGCGGATTTTCAAGAAAATCATTATTTTCAAAATAGGCCGTTTCAATTTTAATAAGTTTTCGTTTCAACTGTGTCTTTAAAGGTTTATAACTATATATTTTGAAAGCTTCAAATGCGTGTGTTTATATGCGCAGCAAGGCGAGATTTTGAAAATGTAATAGATATTTTTGAATTTCCGTGGCATAACAACAGTTTGTTGCGAACATTTTCTCGGCGAATTTTCTACTAACCTGAATATAAGTCCAACTAAAATGTAGGCATTGTCATAAGCTTTCAAACCATCCGCGTTGGGGGTGTATGTCGTTAAATTTCGAATTAATATAAGCGGTTGAACCTCATGCCTAAAACCAGACATTTTATTGTCCGACTAGAATGTGTATTCCGACGGCAATTTTTACACCCTCGTTTAGGCAACGCTCAATATTCTAGCTACAATATTATAGCTCGTACCAAAATGTAGCTGAATTCACCAGCTATCTGACAATATACGTAAAATTATTGTACCTGTAATATTCGCACAGATATAGTCGAATAAAAGTTGTATGTTTATGTTGCATTAAACTTATTTGTTGTCTAAACGAGCTGAGGCCAGCTGAGGGTGTGTCAAAATTACCGTCGGACAATATAATGTCTGGTTTAGGCACGAGTTTCAACCGCTTATATTAATTCGAAATTTAACGATATTCACCCCTACCGCAGATAGTTTGAATGCTTGTGAAAATGCCTACATTTTAGTGGGAGCTATATTCCTGTAGCTACAATATTCAGCGAGAAAACGTTGTCTAAACGACGGGGTCAAAATAACAAAATGTAAACAATATTTGAAACCAGAATTATAATTAG